AACTTCAGAATTCCTGTTTGCTAGCAAGAAAATTCCCATATACTATTTACAGCATACTCTAAAACGGAGTCCACTTTTGGTGGGATTTTACATAATAACAAAATAAATTGTGTGACCATGCCATCTCTTTCAGATGCTTACAAAATGTAGACCTCCCTGTATTTTTCCCCTAACAAGGTTCATTTTTTTTCTTTTTCATATACAGAGCTTCATTGTCTACTTAAGATGGCATCAAGACTGCATCAAAAAGTAAGTTGCTGTTGAAAAAAATAGCACATTTAGGTCCACACTCAAAGTAATAATGTTGGTGAAGAATTCACATAACGTAGTTGGTTTCTTTCCCCAGTGTCCAGCAGTCAGTGTTAAAAATCCAGTTGACAAGATTGATGCTGCATTGTAAATCTCAGTAGCTCTGTCATGGTTGGTAACAGGCAGCAGTGGACCTTTCCGCATCACATATCTATCTTCCACAGAGCATAACTTGATTGAATATTGCAGTAGTTTTAGGGTTAACAGAGCTGTTTTCTGCCCTTCTGTAACTAGATGAATCTTAGTTTTAAAGAAAATATCTTCCTTTTATTTGAATTAAAAATGTGAGTTCAGAGATTAATGTTGAAATCATTTTTTTTTCTAAACTTAAATTGGGCCGTTTCCCAGATTTACGTAATTATACTTAAACATTGTACATGTAGTGTGCTTATGCACTGCTTGCTCTCTCTTTGGTCTTCGGGTTTGCTCAGTTACTGTACCTGGCACCTTGAAAGCCTCGTGTCCCAGACATTTGGACAAGATTGTTGTGTTACTTACTGTGTAGGTTCTAACCAATTTGAGAAAATGTGGGTTTTAGCCCCACACTACAAAAAGTGAATAGTCCTGGCTTATAATATTAATTTATGTAATGAAACAGTTATAATAGAACGAACTGGAGAAACCTATATTAATGATTGGCAGCCCTAATTATTTTTAGTGTTTAACTTGAACAACACTTGTAGTCATTTAGACTGCTCATTTAATTATTTTAAAGGGCATTCAATTTTTTTATTTATATGTAAGCTAGTATCCAAGGTTTTATCACATGCTAGCATCCCATTAAGCACTTGAAATCAAGGCAAGATGTTATGAGTAGGATTATACAGAGGGACACTGTTTAACTTCCAGTGACTCTCATTGAGCTATGTAAGAATGGCTCTAAGTGTAGCCTGGAAATAAAACTTGACCTCTAATCTAGGCATGAAGGACAGTGGTAGGAAGGATGACCATTCTTGAAGAGCCTATAGTGGTATACCTGAATCACCTCTCTATCTTGTTCTATATAAGCAATGAACTATTTGTGCTATTCGTGCTATTTATGGTGGTATGGGGAAAGCAGATTGCTACATTTGAGGTTAAAATCTGACTAGTAGTGCTGACCCAGATGGCTTGATTTTCACTCCCCCCCCCCCCGCAAGTGCAGGGAACATTCCTTACTGCTCCCTCAGAATAGAAGCTGTTTCATATTTTGCTGCTCTATTATGAATGCTTAATTTAAATGTTATGTTCTTTCAAGAGCATCCAAGATACACCTCTAGTCTCATAGTGGTATACAAACATGAAGTGATAGAGTATAGAAGAGGGCGGCCCAATCAAAACAGAGCATTCTGTATTGTAATTGTAATGTTGACATAGAAAAACCACAATTCATTATCAGTTCTAAATGGATACATCTACACTTTGGCTATCCATGTTCCAGTATTGCTGAAATACCTGGACTGTGATGTATTGTAGTTGCTCTATTCATTCAGTGAAAAGTTTATGTAAATCCATATTTTTGTGTTTTCTGGGTGGTTTTTTTTGGTTTTTTTACTGTTGAAGTAAAAAGTAGGATAATACTAAGAGGGAATTTTGCACTGCACTTGTGTGGAGTTTGCAAAAAGGGTAGGAGCAGTTCCTCTGTGGCTGCCTTAGCATTTGCTTTCATGATAGCTGTTTGGTACTGAAGAAAACGTTCATACCTCCATATGTTATTCCTTGGTAGAAGAATATAGCATGAAGTAGCTCTCAGCTTTTCTTAAAAAGTGCATGTTGGGAATAGGTAGCCAAATGACCACCAAATAAGAGACATGGAGAATTTCTTCCTTTCCTTCAGTAATATTTCAAGAAGCACTTGGTGCTGCCAAATATGTGTCTGTGTGCATGCATGACTAATATCTATATCTGTGTAATATCTTTGGAGTATTGTGAACTGGATTTAGTTGGAATACCACTTATTTTAGAACTATTTGTTTAACTTATTTTGAAGCTGACTATTGAAATGGTCCTATTTGTTTATGAGCACTGTCTAGTGCTGCTTATCTCTTGGTTTAAAAGGGAGAGTTGTCAATGGTGTTACCCATGTTGCTTGGATGAATTTTTATTATTCTCTAGCTCTGACTTTTCAGGTGTAGCTATTTTAGTATTATGGAGGATGATGGATGATGCAGGAAAGTTTCTTTTGAAGCACTTCTGATATTGTGCAATGCACTTGGGGGTCAGCTACACTTGACTGATGCATGATTTATCTGATGTCCCTGCCACTTTCTGAGATAAAGCTGCTATTTTATCAAAAATGCCAGCAACTGTGACTTAGAATTTATATGCCTTCCTTTTGCAAATAATTGCTCTGATTACTTTCCGGTATGGCAATAAAATGATAGAGGTAATTGCACACAAATGTGAGAGAGCACCAAAATACAATAAAATTAACCTGAATTAGCTTGACTTGTCGATGAAGTATTTATGAAATGTATTTTTGCAATAAGGGAGACCAATATTATAGCTGGAAGGTGAGTTATTGCCTTAATGTAATACAGTTTGAAATTTAAAAAAGAGACTGTTACAGTTGAGGGTGATTGTGCTTTTGAAATTAAGTTGAAGTGATTCTTATAATTGGCAGCAATAATGCATTGAGAAGGTAATATCTTTTATTATGTTATGCCTAGTTGCATTATCTCTTAGTTTGTTCTGACTTGAGCTTCTGTGAGAACATAAGAAACAGTTCTTAAAATTTTGTGGATTTTGATAACAGAACATCCTCTTTTGATTATGATCTTTGCCACTTTGAAAAACAGTTTATTGGCTTCACATAAACAGGAAAAAAACCCCACAAATATTATTCAGGTTATTTTTTAAAGCCAAGTTAGTTTCACGATGGTCCCTAAGCCGGTAATCACCCCCGCCCCCCCCAAATTTATACTTGACTGCTTAGGTGCATATAAAAATGTAGGTTTATTATCTTGCATACAGTTGTATGCATGTTACACACATGCCGGTGAACATTCAGGAGTAGAATTATTTGGTTATAGTGTGTCAATACTCTATTATATGTGTGTATACAAAGTTGGTGAAATATTCGTGAACCCTTATTTTTAGATATCTTATTTTTTTAAAATCGAGACTATTCATAGTCTGGGTTTTTTATTGTGAATTTGTCTGGGAAAAATGCAAGAGAAGCTAGGTTGTATTTTAGATCTAATGTACTTCTTCCATTAAAGAACATACCTAGTTTTTACAGTGCAATCATAAACAGAAATTTTGTGGGTTTTGATACCTTCTAAACTCATCAGTTTCAATGGCCTTTGATGCTAAAATGGAATGATGATGCTAAGTGACTAAAGTTGAACTAAAGTTCTCTGTGGTATCTTGTTCTTTTCCACCTTAATATATTTTGTTTAGCATGGTTGTGTGTTTTCCAGTTAATTGCGTGTTCTCACTTAAGGTAGCAAGTCTTTAGTAATCACTGAACCATGAATATTGCTGTCATACTGTAGTTTGCCAGCAAGTATTTTTCTTAAGAGTAGGAATTATTATTACTTCGACTTGGAGCATAGGGGATTCAAGATGGTGACCGTTGCAGATATCCTGAAGGAATGATTCTTTTAATTCTCTTTTAATCTCATTGACTTGGAACATGTACTTTCCCATGACACTGAAATTACAGATTTGACAATCAGTGTGCTAGTTTTTCAACTATAATGGCACTATGTGGGGAGCAAAGAGTGTTTCTTATTATGTAGGTCAGAAACTGTGGAACTTCCAATGGTAACACCACCAGAATCCTCAGACATTACCTGAGAAGGCAAACCCTATAATAGCATCTCTTTTCATTTTGTTGCCGTATTAATAGGTACCTGGCATCTTTGCTCTTATCCCCATAAGATGTACATTTAAGCAGCTTTTCTCTTCTTTTTCCACCAGCCTTTTATGAAATTCACATTGTGTCCCCCCTCCCCTCAATGCCCCATGTGTGACAAAAGGAGCCATCACAGGCTAAGACTTCTTAAAAATAAAGCGTGGTCTGTAAGACTGTATTGTTGATTTCTGGTTATCTTCTCCCTGCCTCCAATAAACTGTGATAAAATTGTGATAATAAGAGGAGGAGGAAAGGAGCCATACTTACTTACTTTACTTCCCAACTGGGAAACAGAGGAAGCTTCAACAGATCAGCTGTTGTTGAGATGGGAATGTAGTAAAGTGGTCAGATTGGTAATTTATTTCCAATGTTTTTAAACTAACTTCTGCTAAAAGAAGACTGGTTTCTATACATGGTATTTAAGAGATCGCTGACTGATTAGTGGGTAGGAAAATTTAATGCTGCTTGTTTTAATCTGTTATACATTTTTTAAAAATCAAGCTCAAACTATTTTATTGTGCTGGGGATGTTAATTTCTGCTGTCTTTCAGATTCAGATTGATTTTGGCAAAATGGCATGCCAGCCACGTTGGATTATTTTAGAATTTGGCTGCCAGAAATCTGGCAGTGCTTGGTTTAAAACCAACAAAAAATAAGAATAGAAGTGCTGTATTGATGGAAGATGCATTTTTATGTAATAATATTAGGAATATTGTTTATCAGTTGCCCACATTACTAACAGCTCTGCCAGTTGCTGGGATGAATTATTGTAGTCCATTATTCCTCTGCTTTGGGCACTAATAAAGGCATCACTGTAATATTTTCTCTTGTGTATATATAAAGGTATGGAGATGTCTTTCTTGCTGTATAAGTATGAGTTGGTGCCTTTGGGGAACTGACATCATTCCAATCACATGTTTTGTCTTCTCTTATGGACTCCCACAAGAAATCTATATTCAGGTGTTGCTCCTTAACAGCTGGGAAGGGATCACTAATCTCTCTCTCTTTCTCTCTCATATAACCAAGTACATAGGGATTTAATCTCTTGAGCTGAGTCAACAGATAAAGATTATATTCAGGATATTTCAACTTTAATTAGTTTC